AGAATGACAATACATTAGGTTGTGCCACAGCGCCACGACACGTTAGCCAACGTTCGTGAAATGAAATCTAATCATTTCTGCATGTTAATCACTGGGCCACGCCTCCAGGTATAATCCATTTGGTATGGCATCAGTGGCTGTCAAAAAAACCGGTCACATGACTGAACGCTCTGTAGGGCGAGAGTTCGACGTGTCTCATACGCGGGGCGGGGAGGGGGTTTAACTTCTCTTGTACTCGCGGTAACTTCAGCTACTAGGCGTTGCTGTGCACTCATGGCGCACGCGCCTATCTGCGAAAAAAAAAAAAAGACCAGCATATTTTTGAAGATCCATCCGGCCGACGCGCAAGTGCACGTTACGAATCGCTGGTATGCAGTCATATGGGGGGTTCAAACAGTCTCCCCTTAGCACGCGTGTTTATAAAAGTCTTTTGATTCTTTCGAAACTTCTTGTCGGCGATTGATGCGACGGGTGCAAGGTGTCCAGTGCCTCGTGGGGAGGAGAGGGGTGGGGGCAGCCTCCCAAAAAAAGACGGCGCCGATAAACGTCATGGGAACTTTAGATTACATAGTACTCACGTCGGCTGAGATTACAATATAAGAGCGAAGAAATCGAATAGGCTACTCAGGAATTATGTGATGAACAGTTTTTGCTCCTGATAAATATTGTTTAAAGCAAGTATCATTAAAATTGTATTAAACATGATGAAATCAGCAAAACTGCAGTAAAAATTATGTAAAAAGATAAAAAATGTCTAGGTCGAAATTGGCGAAAAGTGCAAAAAATGACGTATAAAAATAGATAATTTTGTTTCGTCATAACAAAATTAATTTCTATACTAAAGGCCTTTGTTCTGAATATGAATGAAAATAATAAAATGACATTTCATTAAAATAAGGCCATAGTGATCAATAATAAGCCACGCAAAAGTTTATCATAGATAACACATTAAATATTCTAAAACGATAAAATCTAGTCCCTTCGTGGAAAATTCTCCGCACCTTATAGATTTCAGCATATCCAACCTTCCTAAAACAACTTCGCTCATGTGGTGTAGCTAGAATCTAAGTTTCGTGGGTCCCTAAATGCGAAATATCGAATGACTGCAAAACGTCTATCTGTCCGTTTGTGAACAACGATAGCGGCTAAACCGTTCAGCCGATCTCCTCCAAAACTAATATTCTCCAATCGATCTGGCTGATGTAGATGCCCCTTGAATTTGAAACCGATATTTTAATTTTGGAGGTACTTTAAATCAAGTTCCTGGACTATTTTCCAAATTAAAAAAATTGGCTTTATTGTTTTTAAATAAATTTTCTTGTTGGATAATGTGAATGACCTTTAAGAGAATGGTGCCGGTCTCATGTTCGTTAAAAAAACAGATTTTTCGAAAATTGAATAAATTCACATATTTTTCGTAGTCTTCCAACAACTAAAATATTAAAGGTAGATTTTTTCCCTCATTAAATGAGTTCTTTAAAAAAATATTTTGATGTCATATACGATTTTTCGAAAATTTAAGTTATTTTCGCGTAATTTGGGGTGAAAATACGGGCGAGGAAGTTTGGCGCCGAAACCGGTGGCCAGAGAGTCGTGAAACTAAGGATTTCATATAAAAGGGGTACGCGGAACACGATGCACGTCGTGAAAGAAACACAAATTTTGTTTATATAAAATGTTTAAACAATTTTTGAAATTTGCAATAACAAATTCGCCAAAACTCGCATTGTGAAACGAGACGCTGTGCCTGTTACGACTCTCTAAATGCAATTCAGCAACGATTCACGCTAACCGAGTTTCGAGTTTTTAAAAACAGTTCCTTTCGGAGCTCACGCTCCAAGTGCGCTCCTTTGAGCCGAGCTGCACGCCCGGTAAAGGGTCCGAGGAGGGTTTAGTTTCTCTGTTATAAAATAAAAGTATGTATCTAACGCATGCAATAAACAACATTTAAAAGTATAAGATGACTGATTCAATAATATTCTGTTTTTTATTTTTAACTGTTTATTGAAAATCGTGCTTGTACAGCACTGAGGTCTTTACAAACTTGAAATAAAGTTTTGCAGAACCAAATCTCGCGCCGTGCTGCTTCTTTCTATACAGTTCAGCAGTTCGTCGTTAGCGCTACTATTGGAGCAGATGGCTGCGGCGGCCAAAGAGTAGTCTTTACTCTCGAAGTGTATGTAGTGGTAACAGTACAGCTGGTTTCTCCGCTGCGCTCTTTTTTTTTATCTGTGTTCATTGAGGAGGGGTACATAAATCTCTATGCCTGTGTTTCTGATTGGAAAGATGCCGCTCTAGAGGAGGGTAGGGAAACTTGGCGGTCAAAACGGGGTAATGATTTTTGCGTCATCTACAACAGTTCCGACGTGAGCCGAACTAAACGTGTGACGTCATGCAATTCAAAAAGCTGGCAA